ACTACCACTACCACTACCACTACCACTACCACTACCACTACCACTACATACATCCATCGATCTATCCATCCACCAATCTATCCATCAAGCAATCTATCTGTCTTTATTCTTGTCGTTTCTTTGTTATGTTCTGCTTTCTTTGCCATTCCATTCCTTTCCTTCCCCTTTCCCTTTCTTTCTTCCTTCGTAGTTACTATCTATATAATACTTTCCTACTACTGCTACTACTGCTACTACTAGTACTGCCACTGCCACTGCCACTGCCACTGCTCCTGCTGCTGCTGCTACTACTACTACCACTACTGCCACTGCTACTGCTACTGCGACTCCTACTACTACCACTACTACTACTACTGCTACCTACTACCTACTAGTTACTACTTACTACTTACTACGGCGACGATGATGATGATGATGACGACGACGACGACGATGACGATCCCCTATTCTCCCCTTAGCACATCATTCCGGGGAAGTGGACCTCATGAAAGGTACCTCAGACCTTCTAGACCTTCTAGGGTGGTTATTAATCCGGTCTTCGCATTATACGGATGTATGGTTTGGGGTTGTTTGTAATTATATGGAATCATTGACTCATCCCCATCTTCCACCATCTTCCTGAGTCGGAAAACCGCCTCCTGCGTCTGCGAATTCGCCCGGGATGCTCGGTCGGATGCTGCGGCAAACCCCAAATCCATCGTCTTGAAAATCCCATGGGGCGAGCTGTGGGTCAAGACGAACTAAGGCATTCATGTAGAATCATTGATGTATGAAGAAAACTCTTGGACTGTAAAACCTAATCATATGGGGCAGGTTTTATTGATCGAAAGATATCATACAAGAGTCTTATTAAGTTGGCGGAAGGGAGCTTCACCGCACGACTGATTGAAGGACCCACCAACCTACGGTCCGGACAAAACTCTGGCGTGCCCACCAACCCCGGCGGCGAAATCTCAGAAACTCCCCGTGTGGACCCATGAAATCAGGACACCCCGGATCGTCCAATCGTCCGATCCACACCGGATCGCCCGGTCGGACACCCCGGATCCGATGATCCGATGATGAAAACCGCGATGATCCGGGACGAAACGAGCGATGCCTAGGTCTAAAGACCTACCGGCCAAGCATTGAAATGATATCCAACGGGCCAAGCCTTTTTGGGACGTGTGATTTCGAACCTTCGAGAAGTTTTGATCGAAGTTGAAGGAGAAAACACAAGAAGTTGGTCGACTCGAGTCGAAACGTTCACATCCAAAGACCGCTCCGTGGAGCCCGTCAATCCCTTTTTGGATCCGAAAGCGACCCCGTAGACCTGGCGAGCACCCCGGAGGGATTGATACGGCATGCCTCTTGCGTGGCAGAGTTGCGCTCTCAGCTTGGCATGTGGACCATAGATGGCGGAAAAAGAAAATTAGTTTAGACTTGCATCTGCTTTTGGCTTTCCCAACTCTAGTCTGCAACAATGGCACGGTGTGTTGGCGTACATGTGTTCAATGGTTTGGGCCCCAAAACAATAGAGTAACAAAGTTAAATTAAACATAAACCCATCCAGCAGGGGGATCGCAAGCGTTTGCAAAAGCGCAAGAAGCGGTTCGAAGATGCAAGAAAACTTAAATGGCACTAAAGCCCCCAAGAGGACATGTTTGTTCTAGTCTCCATGTGGTTTGAGGTTTTGATTCCGTTTGGAAGTTTTCTTGAATCGACGGTAGACAGAAATTACATGAGATGGAGAGGTTCCAACTCGTAAACTAGCACAGGTTTATTGATTCATCAACTATACCAATATATATATATATATGTGTTAGATAATATATAGTTAGATATATATATATAGTTATATTGATTGGTTATATACTGTATATATACATAATATTTTTGTTATATACATGATTAAATGATATGGTTCATTATGCTTCACTCTCTGTGTAAGCTGGCTCAATGAAACTCCATCCATCGATGGTTCCTACCCGGACCCGAAACAGTCAAACTCGGCCAAGATGTGGAACCACCGAACGCACAAATGGCGAAGCTGTGCACCGAACGCATCTCACCTGGAAAGCACCAAAACTAGAAAAAGGTTGCAATGGATGCTCGGGTATGTTCGGATACTCAAGATGGATGGTCTTTGCCGTACTTTTCACCACTCTTCTTTCTGGCACGCGCCGAGGCTTCTGCCGCACTTGGTCTTCAGACACGTCGTCTTCTATGCTACAGGCCACCGGAAAGCAGTGGAGCTGCCCGGGGCCTTGGCACAGCTGTCGGCAACCGTCGGACTTTGAGGGGGGTCCATTGGTCCATTCCAAGTAGTTGGATCATTACCCTTTTCGGAGCTTGGAGAATCAGTTCCCGGGATGTTACTGAGGTTTGGTGTGGAAGTACTCATGGTGCGAATGATTTTGGCAAAAGGCCAATGTAAACCTCCAATTAGCACCCCCTCATGCTCTGGCAGCTGTCTCCCTCTGTCAGGTTCTGTCGACCCGGTGTCTCTAGTTTCTTCTTTTATCTGTGAAGCTATATAAGTAAGTCCTTTTGTCAGCATTTCTAGAAAAGTGGTCCAGTACCAACATCTGGTAGCCACGCCAATGGCTGTGGCTCGAAACTAGGGCCGGGCAGGGCGCCATCCCATACACGCTGCAACCTGATGCTGCCCTGGGGGGCCCGCCAGACCATCCAACGGTCAGGCCCCATTGTTTGGGCTGCCGGACCTTCACTGCAAGCTGATCGCGGATTCCTGACCGCCGGAGAAAGCCGAAGCTTCAGTGAAAGGCCAGGGGGGAAAAGAAAAAACATGATAAGAGTGCCTGTCTTTAAAGACACTCTGGGGCAGAATAGCAAACACTGTTCTGACTTGCAGTATGACTACGGGACTGCAGCTGACTCCATGACCAGTGTGGCAAGAGGTGATTTGTGAGAGATTCTATGGTTCTGGACATACCCACAATGAAATTGGCAAAAATCATCCTAATGTCACTTATAGTTCTGCTTTGTCAGGAAAGGTTCTCTTGGTTCCTCACAAAAAGGGTATGGCCAGGATGTTTGTAGTACCGTGAAGTCCCACACGAGTCTCACTTTGCACCAAGATCTGGGCCTTCTGTCAGGCTTTCGAGTTTCATCTTGTTCATGTTCCTAGCCCCTCAGTCCCTGTGGAAGAGGTGGATGCGACGACAGAAACATTCTCGGTCATGAGCTCTGACCGGCGCTGGAACAGCGCTTCAATTAGCTCTATTGGGAAGCCCATTGGGCTTTTGGTGGATGACTGAGACCGATTGCTTCCATTTTTTCCCCGGTGGCCCAAACAGGCCTGAGATTTGCGAGGAGCAGCCTGCGCGGGAGTTGCTTTTTCAGTGTCGCATGATGATCGATGCGGGAAACATCTTCAGATCTTTACATGCAAGCATATATATATATATGTTCCAGATATAATATATCTATATATATACATACATACATATTACAAAGACAAAACATCATATTTAGATTATATATGTATTATATTCCATATTTATTTCATGCAAAGAATTAGTTCATTAAGCCTCACCCCGCCACCTCCAATTCTTCTTCCAACCAACAAACTTCAGGCTGCCTCAGTCACCGGGCCCAAGCCATGTAGCTCGGGGGGCGAGCCACTGTCAGGCCTCAGACAACGTGAAACGACCCCAACCCCACCAATCCGATATAGCCACCTTTGGAAGCTCCATCTTCGAAAGGTCCCCTTTTGAAAGAAGGAAACCGCTGTTCAGGTGCAAGTCGTACAAAACAATGCGTCAACCTTTTGGGTTACTCCTACTCTTTGTGCACCATGTCACTCACATGTACTCACCTTGTCTCTTTGAGGCACGACACTGGTTTGGGACTAGGAAAAAACATTGAAAACCTGCTGGTCCGTGAGGGACCTCAATTGAAGGCACAGCTATCTGAACACAGGACACAAAAAAAACACAAAAACATATCCTTTATATGTTTCATTTTACTTGTATAGAGTATATAATGTACTTAGAAAAGATCTTGCACCTGGAACGTGTCACCAAACCATGTGTGCACACCTTCAGCCGGCGAAACCAAAACTTCCGGGTGAGGTGCAAACGTTCCGTCGAAGCGTCTCCAGCCAACTCAGTCTCCGTACGGCGTGGTAGACGTCAGTAGGCCTGTCACGGCTTGCGTGGCAGAATGGAGGTCGCCCCATGGTCGCCGGAGTATCGGAAACGGCGCCGGGGCTGAACACCATGTTTTGCGATCGTTGGGGCGCAAACGGACGCGACCGGTCAACGGGGTTGGAGCGCCGGCTGAAGTTGGATTGGACGGCCTTTTCGATTCTTTGGATCCCTTTCATAGTTACACCCATGGCCTTTGAGTCAGTTCCGGGACGGCAGCATTGCTTCATACGGCTTCTCTGCTGAATTGAAGAATCTGTTTACACCAGGGACCCCTAATGATGAGTCCACCAAGTCAATTGGATATCACCAAATAGATTTGGGGACCTTTCCTCACGTCTTCATGGTCTCAACACATATCTGTGGTTCCAAAGCCGGGTACCATCCAAACCCACTAAACAAAGCAAACCTAAAACCTATGGACGCCTGTGCATTGCTATGACTGAGCCACATCCAAACGTGTCACCCTCCGAGCGCCAGCGCAGGATGCCTTCCCCAAACGCTGACAGCATCGTCTCGCCTGCAGGCAGAAGCAGAGTGAGGGATCATTGACTGGGCCGAGTGCCAGTCCAAGGATACAGATAGGTAGATAGATAGATAGATAGGCAAATAGAAAAGATAGTAACATAGTAAGATAAGGTAAATAGATAGTAAGAAAGTAAGAAAATATAGAAAGTAAGATCGGATATGACAAATAGTCAGATAAGATTAGATTAGATTAGGTTAGATTAGGTTAGATAGAAAGTCTGATAGTGTCTCTATGAAGTTGGTTCGGTCTTCGGGCGTCCGAAAAAGGCGGGGCTTCTACAGTCGTATTGCTGTAGGCTCCTTGGTGGAGGCACCATGGTCAGAGTGAAACAAATAGGATCCAAGCGGAGCGTAAAAATGCTGTCAAAAGTTCATCATGGTAGCAGGAGCTAAGGGAGCTGCAACTGCTGGTGGGCGGTGGCCGTCCCAGTGAGAGAAAAAGGAAAAGGTCAAGTGTGGGACACAACACAGCCACCAAAACAAAACATGAGCAAACAACAATTCCGCCACTCTCATTCGTCTCAAAAGGGCAGCAGGCCAATCTCGCGCTTCAGCAGCTGCCAGCGGCGCAGCAGCAGGACACGGCCGCCACAGCAGCACTGCATGGCCGCCAGCGGCGCAGCAGCTGCAAGGCGGTAGGTGGCAGCTGTCTAGTCAAGCCAAGTTGCAAGTCGTCCAGACGAGGTCGAATCTTCAGCAGGTCCATTTGGCCCAGTTGCTGGAGCTCACGGGGAGTGTACTCACTGCAAAGTGTCACATTCAGCTCGGCATGACACAAATGATCAAGCTTAAGCTTCGGGCCAAGCTTGGGCAGCATACCGCAGCCAAGACACGGGAGGGAGCTGAACTCTTTGTCCAGCTGTCGTTGGCCGGCAGCGACCAAATGCGCTGAAAGTTCAGACCTTCCCGGTCCTAGCAGTGAGCCATTCGCGCGGTCATCTGATCAAGGCGAAGTTGCCAGTATTGAGGATTGGTGACTCCAACCATGACCTGGATCAACCATACGCTCACCCAGTCTGTCAGGAAATTAGGGTCCTTATGGAGCTGAGCCTTGGTCTGATCGTCAAAGAGGATCCTTCAGCAGTCCGTCCTATGCCTTGGATGTGGCCCGATGCATCAAGCCCACGGTGGAGTATGCCTCCAACAACAACTCCAACAACAACAACAACAACAACAACAACAACAACAACAACATAAGGAATGGCATTGGTGCGCAATGAGTCCTCAGCTTGTACTGGAATGAAGACCTGATCAGGCAGAACAAGTTCCCAGCGTTGCTTGTGCACCTGAGCTGAGGCATCAGCTGTGAATCTGTCAATGTGGATATTCACAAGCTTGCTACTGTGAGTGAAAGCTGTGCTCATGCACAAACGAGAAGACCAGTTGTCGAGTAATGTTTGCAGGCTGATCTTTTTTGTTTCCGCAGTCACGTACACAGTCGGAGAGGTGTATTGGGACCCCTCACGGTGGAGTATTCTCGTTGTTGGTGTGCGGTTGAAGACGGCCGACCACCAGAACCCACACTGAGGAGGCTGTCAGCAGCGAGAGGATCCCGAACAGCCTGTCCTTCCTGGGGTTCAGTTGAATCAACCATGGGCTGACCGGTGAGCTGGTTCCGTCTTTGTTCTCTGGCTTCAAAGATTTGAAGCGCAGCATTGATTCTCCTTGTGAGGCGATCTCTACAAGCTCGTCTATCAGGCTCTGCGTGCTCTGCGTGGAGATTGGATTCTTCTCGGTCATCATCAGAATCATTCGTTTGTCCTTTGGATTGCAGGCCAGATAAGGCCAGGCCTTCGACTGAGCTATGCGAAGAAAGCGGTCTTGGACTGTCTGAGCAACAGTCTGGAAGAGCAAGTCCTTAAGCGCGAGCGTTGCCGGATGTGCCTCCATGGCTTTCTTCCATCAAGATCAGATGGCGTTTCAATGCTCCATCTGCCAAGAAGATCATCTGCGTAAATCAGGAGGTGTCGAATTAACCAGCCAGGCTTGACTGTTGGTGTTTGCGCATGGATTTCTGCTCCAAGACAATGTAACAAGAATACAACAAATGCATTCCACTCTAGGGGGAAGCCTTGCATCCCTGCCGAACACCTCGAGCGGTGAGAATCTTTGTTCGATGGCCCCGGTGCGCAATCTCGTAGTGCGCTCCTTCTATAGGCAGTGCATTAGGGCAATCTGCCAAATGCCTGCTGCAAGTGTAAAGAAAGAATGAGGCCGCCACAAAGTTCTGGCGCAGAGGTTGCGGTGCTTTTCCAAGGTCCTGGAGCAAGTTGTTGACATTGTTGTCGGATACGAGCGCACCCCTGCGTGGGAGATACGCAAATAATGGGAGTTGACACATGCGATGATGCAAGCACTGCTTCATTCGTTGTACGTATCCACCTAACACCGCCTTCCCGATTCTGCAGGTGAGAGCTATAGGTCGTAAATCTCCAGGTGAAAGGACTTGTCGCATTGTTGAGGGATGCTCAGTGCAGGCACTGGTCAAGAAGGAAACGATGAAGCCAGCTCCCAAGTGCAGGCGCCAAGGCCTTGATCACAGGCAAAGACGTCATGGAAACTGCCTTGTGGCCTTTGGTATGACTCAATTGAAATACTAGTTCGTCTTCTGTGAACAAAATTGGGGAGCATGAGGTGGGCGCCGCTATTCTTCTCTGCCTGGAAGATAGGTCGAAAGTGCTGTTCCAGACGTTGAAGTTCCCGTTCAGCAGTTCTTCATGAGATCCTCTGAATCTGATACAGCGCGCTGGCGTCATGATTGGCGGAGCCCTGGCTGCTGCATCCGTGATGGCACAAAGTCTTTCTTGCTTCAGTAGTAAGCAATGCTGTTTCAATTGCTTGCGCGACCGAAAAAACGTGTGAACATGATGCCAGGCACGAAAACAAAAGGCAACTGGAGCTTTCGCAAGAATTCCCCAACCTGGCATAGTGTAGATGCTTCCATTTGCGGGCCACCAAAGATCTTGCGCTGCCCTCCATCCAGAGGGGCAGCTGTTGAGTGGGAGCCCGACAAAACGTCTGCTTAGCAAGGTGAGCAATCCATTGAACTGGGGTCTGAGCATCCGTAGTGGAGGCCGTGGCCAAGTAAGTCTCAACCTTCTGGATGAAGTCCTGCCAGCGCACGGTGTTTTCTCGTTGTTCTAGGTGAATGTAATTCACGTCCTGCTTGGTCAGGTTGGCAATCTCCTTAGCCGGCGCTCGATACCAGACCTTCCAGTTGGCTGGAATACTGCTCAGACATGGCAGATGGTCAGGGTAAAGTCTGCGCTCCGCCAGTGAAAAGGTGTTCAAGCATCTGGATTCTGCCCTTCTCATGAACACATAGTCAATGGTGGTGGATTTGCCCCTGGGTCCAATGAACATGGGCGAAGGGTCATGAACTTGCAACGAGGTCAAACCAAAGTTGTTGATCAATTGAAGTGTTCCACATCTTTGTACAAACTGAGTTTGCTCTTCAGGAGACTGCCCACCTAAAACAAGTGTGTTGCGATAAGGCAGTGACTTCAACTGGCGCTCCAGCTTCTGTCTTGCACCGTAGGGGTCTGGTCGCGGTTGAGATCCCTGAGTGGGAAACTGGTAAAGGTTCTCATCGCACACCACTCATCTCATTCACTTTTATCGTCCAATATCTTTCCGTCCTCTTTTTTATCAGTCTCTACTTCTCGTTGATAGTTCTTACAAGCTTAACATGGTCCTTTATATTTTTGTTCTTGCCCTACTGATCTGCAAAAATTGTCGTTGATTTTAGCTCAAGCTTTGACGGACACGCTGAAACGCTATGCGTTCCAGTCTCTTCATCTCTTCATTCGCTTCAGATTGTTGCTGTCTCTATGTTTCTACAAGCCCGGGAAAAATCCCAACACCATAAAACATCAGAGGGGCCGTAAATCGGGGCATGGTCCTCTCGTGACACGCACGCGCATCCCAAAGCACGAGTCCACAACCAAACCGGGCAGCCGGGCAGACGGGCTCAACCGGGCAACCGGGCATACCGGGCAAGCAGGCCAACCGGGCAAACGGGCAAACCGGGCAACCAGGCGCGCGCCAGACATCAAACTGCGCACTCGACTCGACTCTGCCTTCTCCAGGCGCTGGTGGCTTTGCCTCACCTGCATCATCTCTTTCAAACCAAGCTGGTGCACAAAGGGTAGGTCTGCGTGAACCAGAGTCAATCATCCTTTCTACCAGAGATGTTGGCATCGTCCTTGAAGGAAAAATCCTTGTCCATTCACGTCAGGTCTAAGGCACCCCTTTGGAACGCATGGTAGAACGTATTGATTGCGTTAAGGCCTCCCCGATCCAAAGCATAAAATCTAGTCTGAGACAGAGTATGGTTTGGGTATTGTTCCACCCGTCCTCTACCGTTTTCCATGTGCGCGCACAAAACACAAAACAGTTGGTTCTTAATAAGTCACAAATGCAAAAATTACCGGATGTGTCTTTCTGTCAACTGCATCACGGTATACACTGCATCAATGCTTCGGAATTTCAGAATGAAAATGGTCTCTACCTCTTTATGAGGTCTTGTTGCTGTTTTTGCCAGAGTTTTGCTCAGCTGAGCCTAGCACTGCCTCCCACTCCCAGAATCATGGATTCAGGATTCATATTAAACTTGACACGACAAGAAACAAAGAAGCAAAAACACAAACAGACAAGAAGTCTTAACGTTCCATCCGACTCCATCTGGCCTTCCCTGGGTTCGGGTGGCATTTGGTCACCTGCCGACACGGAACCAACTCCGGAAACGGGTCTACGAGTGTGTTGGGCCTGGGACCTTGCAAATGCAATTGGTGCCCCTAAGGACCAAATGGCCAGCCCCAACTTACGAACTCCCCTAAACAAATCACGGGGGTTGGCAAGAGGCCAACCTCAAGATTTCAAGGCCGTACCCTCAAGCGCTCTCATTGTTTTTGGATAGGTTGTGCCTTTAACCAACGTCGGTGCACGCCGCTGTTCTTTTTTATGATGTCTTTTCAATTTTGGATGAGGTCCACAACCCTATGGGCTGAAAAGTACTGACGACCCTTCAAAATGATAGATTCTGGGAGCATCTGAAATATATGCGCATATCATATACAAATATATATATAAGTGTACATCTCAAAATTAGTTTTCCTCAAAGAGAAGTGCTACTTTCACTCACCACTTCTCGCATCCGCGCCTTTTTCGCCCTCTTCACTCAGTCTTTCGTGTTTCATGGAATGACAATCCGTGATCTCACAGGATTTGCGCTGGGATGCTCGCGAGGACTATAGGATACACCCTCCACCTTTAGGCGCAGACACTCTGCAACCTAGGGTGTTCTGCCTGGTCACACCAGACAAATCCCAAGGCACTCTACGCTAGATCCCAACGCACTTAAAAGAATCGGCCACACGAATGATGATGAAGAAGGGCCAGCACAGCAGCCAATGGCCGAGTGGAAGGCGCTCTGTACCATGGGTCTGCGGTGCGGCCCAAACCTGGAAATGGCGTCTGCCCAACTCGAGGCAGAAGGGACGCACTCCCCAAAGAGCATGGTCTTCGGCGAAAACAGAAAGGCATGGACCAAATGGCACTACCCCATGCTGGTTGACTTGCGACATGGTCACCGCTACCATAGCATCACCTCCATGGCATCTCAGCCAGCGTGGCATAATGACCAGCGCAGCGCCACCACGGCTACCGTGGCATCACCGCCCACACCATGGCAGCACCCCCACACCACTGCAAGCTTGCAATTACCAGCAGGGCGTCGCCACCAGGCCGGGTGGCGCTGAAAAATTGTCACCGCGGCCATGGCCTCACCTCCATTGCATCGCAACCATGCAATTTCCAGCATGGTTGACTTAAAAAGAGTTGGCACAGCCAACATGGCATCACCTCCATGGCATCGCAGCCTTGCAATGACCAGCGTGGCGTAATGACCAGCGTGGCACCACCACCATGCTGGTTGACTTTAAAATCCTGGTACAGCTACCATGGCATCCCTTCCATGGCATGGCAATCTTGCAACTGTTTCCTTTGACAATGGTCGTGGCCAGCAGGGCATCACTGGTTGACGTTGAAAACCGTAACGGCTACCATGGCAGCACCCCCAGGGCATTGCAAGCTTGCAATTGCCAGCAGGCATCACCACGATGCTGGACGACGCTGAAAATTGTCACCTCCATTGTGTTGCAACCATGTAGTTTCCATCAAAGCAACTCCACCATGCTGGTTGACTTTAAAATCCCCACCATGATGGGTGCCCCTGGCAATGGTCACGGTTAGCATGGCATCCCCTCTCTGGCATGGCAAATCGACAATTACCAGCAGGGCACCGCCCCTATGCTGGTTGATTGTGACATGGTTAATGCAACCATGGCAAACTGCTCCATGGCATCGCAAGGTTACAGCTACTAACACAGCATCACCACTCTGCTGGTTGCCACGGCTGCACCTCCATGGCGTCGCAACTTGGCAGTGACCAGCATGGCCTCCAACTTTGAAAAAGGTCACGGCTCCCATGGCTCACTTCCTGGGCATCGCAACCGCACAATGACCAGCATGTCATCACTACCCTGCTGCTCGGGTCATCTTCCTGGTATCGCCACCAGGGTTGCTCGAGGCATCTCTCTTTCCAGGTCTCCAGGGTTGCTCGAGCCATCTCCCTGTAGCTCCGCCAGGAGTGCTGGATTTGAAACTGGTCGTGGCAACCATGGCATCACTTCCATGGCATCGCGACCTTGTAACTAGCAGTAGGCACCGCCACCACGCTGGTTAGCGCAGAAAATGGCCACGGCTACCGCTGCATCACCACCATGGCATCGCCGCCTAGGGGCCAGCACGTACCAGCATGGCATCACCACCATGCTGGTTGACTTCAAAGATTGGCGTAGCTAACATGGCATCCCCTCCATGGCATGGCAATTTTGCAATTAGCATCAGCGCATCACCGCCATGCAGGCTGCCTATGACAATGGTCATGGCTACCAGGGCGTCACCTCCCTGGCATTGCAAACCGGCAATTACCAGCAGGGCATCACCCCCATGCCGGTTGACTTTGAATTGGCAAATAGTACAAGTACCAGCGAGGCATCACCACCATGCTGGTTGACCAGCATGGCATCACTACCCTGCTGCTCAAGTCATCTCCCTGGTATCTCCACCAGGGTCGCTCGAGTCATCTACCTTCCCTGGTCTCTCCAGGGTCGCTCGAGTCATTGCCCTTCCCTAGTCTCTCGAGGGGTGCTCTAGTCATCTTCCTGGTTCCCCCGTGTCTTTAAAAGCCAGTTTGGCTCAAAGGGAACCTTGAGGCAAAATGTTAAAACAAAGCATAGTTAATGAGATGAACAATGCACACCCAAGCCTTCCAAGCCTGATGCGCAATTGTAGATGTATGTATACATATATTACACTCCGTAAAAGTAATGGCGCAGCAACCCTAATTTGGAAGAGAGCGCCATCTGCCCACCTAAAAATGAATTCCGGGCTACAACAAAACATTGCTATTGTGGCGGCAAGACTTGTCAGTGCCAAAAATGATGCGCCATCCGATGTGCCATCTACTTGGCTAAAATGTCCTCGCTGTGGCATTTGCTTTGCTAAAATTGGTGCCTGGTATCTCCACTGCAGTTGTTGCTTCCTTAGCGTTTGTTTCCTTGCCCTTTCCTTTTGCTGGCATGTTGAGGTGCGCCGTCCACCTTCGCCCGAAGATGGGCAATTCTCGACGGCTTGGGTATTCTTTTCCGCTAATGTGTGCAAGTTACTGGCGCAACTCTTTTCCTTCTTTCTTTCTCTCTCTCTCTCTCTCTCTCTCTTCTTTCTTTCATGTCTCTCTCCTCTCTTGTTTTTGCCAACGGCATTGTTTGCGACTCCAGAGGAAACTGTGTTTTTCGGCTTGGATTACATTAGTAGGTGTGCATGATGATTGATATGTTTGGTGGGGGTTGAGGTTGGGTGAGGGGCTAATGACGTTGGCTTGGATGTGCTTCGAAGATGATGTCACATGCACAAACGCTTTGGAAGATGCGGGTGGGCGGGTTGGGTAGGGGGCTAATGACGTGGGTTTGGATGTGCTTCGAAGATGATGCCACATTCCTTCAACGACCCATAGCAAGAAAGAACACGCCTGCAACATCGACAGGCTGATGCTGTATGTGAAATCCTAGATCTTTCGCAACAATGCCACCAAAGATCGGTGGCAGGCAGTGGGAGAGCTCTGTCGCAAGGCGATGTGCCACTGAGAAAAAATGTTTGCTTGATATGGGAGCCGCCCACTGCATATATGTCAGAGTGAGAAGCACGAACGATTGGTTTAAGCAGAAAAACATAATACAAAAAGCAACACTTCAAATAATCAAACTTGTGACCACCACGTAAAAGCGACACCATGAACACGCAGCCTGACTGGGAACACCAATCACAAGACATGACTTTTAACAAACACGAGAACAAAACATAGCAACTAAACTGCTACGAAAAACGCCTCCCACCTGAAACCAGAAATTGAACACAGAACCTGACTAGGGAGGATCGAAAAAGTACCTTCAAGAACACAATGTTTTTGACAACACGGATGAAATCGCCGAGAATTTGATATGTTAACAATTTTCAACACAATGTTTTTGACACCAATAATGAAATTACCAGAAACCTCCATTTTGTAACATGTACAACCAAAACCATCCTTGGCACAATCGCCAAAAACTCCAGGGTCACCAACTACGCCGTAGCCTTGTTTTTCTCTCCTCTTTATTGTTTTCTCGTTATCTTTCCCTATCTTTCTTTATTCTCTCTTTTTCTCCGGCCTCTTCTCCATGTTGTTTTCCTACTTATTTTGGGTCCTTTCTGCCGCTTTTTCTTTTTACTTTCTTTGTCTTCTCTTTCTCTTCTGTCCTCTCTCTCTCTCTCACTCTCTCTTTCTCTCCCTCTCTCTCTCATTTCATTATTCGTTGTTTTTGTTTCTTTGTCTATCTTCTCTCTTGTTGCTCTGGTGCTGTATGGAATGTTGTGCAAGAATCACAGCAGTTTTCAGCAGTGTGGAACTAGAGGCAGGTTCGACACGGAGAAAGGGGTGGCTGCCCTGGCCAAAGTGCAAGTGTCGAAAGAGTTGGGCCATCTACTCCTGTTTTATGTTGCCAAATTGATGAGTGAATTTCGTCAATGTTAAGAAAGAATCGGAATGGTGCAATTTCCTCGATTGCTTTTGCTTTATACTGACGGACACTTACTTAGAACACATTTTTTCCAAAATGAAAAACAGCACACTTAGAACCTTTTGGCTGGAAACCCCAGGCTTAGAATCCAAAACTGCAGACTTACTTATAACTTATAATCGTTAAGCCTTGAGTCGCGGGTGTTGCAGGGGTAATGCAAAAGCTAAAGACTAGCGCAAGTCCAAGTTACTTTCTCCAGAATTTCTGATGTGAATCGCCATATATACACAAAAGGATCATCAGCCATCCTTGTGCTTTTTGATGCATGTCATGCTAATGCCTTTCCAAAGGTTCTATGTGCAGGCCTCTCCAGAAAGGTTCTATGTGTACATTTTGGTTCTAAGCATATGTTCTACCGGGTCGAAAAAGACAAAATAGAGTTGTAAAAATTGGTTCTAAGTTAAAGTCTGTTAGTATAGTCTATCGGGGCTGATACGTCTATAGCTGCCTCCTGTGGGGAGTAGATGGCGCAACGCCGGTGTTCAGGAATGCCCAGTAGATGGCTCAATTAAAAATTCCAGGGCAACTTACTTTCCAAAGGGAGTATGTATATTGATGTATTTTGTATATTGTCGTTGTCTGATGACCTCAGTGCTCCGCCACTTCAACGCTAAAAGAATAGACCATGCCTTGCCCAGGCATTGGCGGCTCTAGCTCACCTGGGATTGGGCAAGATTTGCAATGATTGACTTCACTGCATGTGCTTGCAAAGCTGTTCAAAAATGAGTAATTCCGATTTGATTGTCGTAGCAAATAGTATGTTTGTGCTAGCAAGTCTTCAACACGCAAATACAACCACTCGCCGCGAAAAGTAACAAAAAGGTGTAGAAGAAGACGAAGAAGAAGAAGAACAACAACAACAACAGCAAGAAGTTCGACTCGGCTGAATCAACATCTTGTGTCACAAAGCAAAGGAACATCTTTTGAAAGTTCTACATGACAAACAAATCAACCGCCATTTGTTGTGGCACCTGTGAACCTGAATGGTCTTTGTCTATTGCTGAGGCCGTAATTAGTTTTGGTTCAGCCACAGTTAAGCTCAGCTATGCCTAGACTGGCACCGACAATAATGAATTCAATTCATTCCTACATATTGAACATGACAAAACACGGAATGGAGGAGGAAAGAACCAACAAACAATGACGCCAGCTGGTGTCAAAAAGGTCTTGGCTTTTGCATTTCCATCCATCATCATCCAGCCAACTCCATCCCACTGGCCTTCTCTGGGTTCTGGTGGCATTTCATCACCTGCCGAAGAGGAGTCAGCTACAGGACAGCTGCTAAACTCGTAGATGCCTTGTCCACATTCATGGCATGAGGTGATTCCGACATCCTCTGATCCTCTCTGACCCACCCGACTCCAGCTGAAGCCGCTACGTTCAACACCTTCTGAGTGATGTCCTTCTGGGAAATTGGGAATAATAGAGGGGTCAGGGTCACGGTCAGTGCAGGTACCTATTGGTCGTACACGACCGGGGGTCTCCTCAGTATTAATCAACCAACCAATAGGAAAAGGCCATCAATGCTTCTGAGAAGAAAGGTGCAACCTTTGAAAGATACAAGTCTGTAGCCTTCAGCTCACATGAGTGGCAGAGTTTGGATCTACCTTTCTTGACAGAAATTGCTATGATTGGCCTTTTGCTTCTGATTTGCCTGCAATTACATTCACTAGAGATAAAATTCATCAAAACAGCCACCTGACTGCATCTGAGCCTTCCCCAGGTGCTGGCGGCATTGCCTCACCTGCGATCAACATCTTGTGTCACAAAGCAGAGGAACATCTTTTGAAAGTTCTACATGACAAACAAATCAACCGCATTTGCTTTGGTACCTGTGAACCTGAATGGTCTCTGTCTATTGCTGAGGCCATGTTTTTGCTTCAGCCACAGTTGAGCTCAGCTATGCCTAGACTGGCACCGACAATAATGAATTCAATTCATTCCTACATATTGAACATGACAAAACACGGAATGGAGGAGGAAAGAACCAACAAACAATGACGCCAGCTGGTGTCAGAAAGGTCTTGGCTTTTGCATTTCCATCCATCATCATCCAGCCAACTCCATCCCACTGGCCTTCTCTGGGTTCTGGTGGCATTTCATCACCTGCCGAAGAGGAGTCAGCTACAGGACAGCTGCTAAACTCGTAGATGCCTTGTCCACATTCATGGCATGAGGTGATTCCGACATCCTCTGATCCTCTCTGACCCACCCGACTCCGGCTGAAGCCGCTACGTTCAACACCTTCTGAGTGATGTCCTTCTGGGAATAATAGAGGGGTCAGGGTCACGGTCAGTGCCAGGTACCTATTGGTCGTACACGACCGGGGGTCTCCTCAGTTCGGATCTACCTTTGATGACATGTTGTGTCTGATTTGCCTGCAATTGCATTCGCTAGAGATAGAAATAGGGCCACTTGACTTGACTGCATCTGAGCCTTCCCCAGGTGCTGGCGGCTTTGCCTCACCTGCGATCAACATCTTGTGTCACAGAGCAAGGGAACATCTTTTGAAAGTTCTACATGACAAACAAATCAACCGCAATTGTCTTGGTACCTGTGAACCTGAATGGTCTCTGTCTCTTTCTGAGGTCGTGTTTTTGCTTCTGTCACACTTTGGTATTGAACCACATTCCGAAGGGGGAGAGAAAGAAACATGTTAAACGACCAAAACTGCGTCATGTCCACGTGCGTCATTTGACAGTTTTATCCCCGAGGAATTCATCTCAACGATGGAAACGTGGGTTCCTGGTGGCATTTGAAGCGACGTTCTGTGGAACCCGCTGCCAAGTGGAACCTTTCTGGAGAACAACTGAAGCCTTGGCGGGTGGCAACATCCACTAGAAGTATACTGCCCTCAGGAACAATACAAACACTAAAACAAACCTTCTCGTCGGAATTTACAAAATTCCTTGAAGAATTCATGGACTGTCAAATGGAAGCAAATAAGTAATGGTGCAGGGTAGTCCAAACAAATGATTCTTTATTGGACTCCAAATCAAGATCGGGGACTGCACCAACATGGGTCACCCCCATGTCATTCTTTTAGTATGAAGCTTCAGGCGACCATTGCGACTGCTTTCCACCTCTCTTTCCCCCAGTTGCGCGCGGTGTCTCAGTTGGGATGAATTCCCCTCGATCCGCCGCCTCGATCTCCTCCAGGATCCCAGTTGCGCGCGCCTGGATGGAAGTAGCCCGAACAAGTCCTAACAAAGTTTCATTCATGGATCCAGCCTCAGAATCTCCAGGGGGGACGGGGAGAAGGTTCCACCAATGATGTTTGATCGTTTCCCGCACGATCGAGAATCGATCGTTTTTCGATGCGATCGAGATGATGCAGATCTGAATGGTTTCACGTGACTGACAATGTGTGCGACGTGTGTTTCTTCTGGGGTGAAGACTGTGAGGTTGTGAAATGTAAAGAAGCAGAAAAATTGGGTGATTGATGCTGAACAGTGTGGTGGTTAAGAAGTTGTTAACAGTATGCTGAACAGTATTTTCTGTGGTTTATGATGTAGTGAAGGGCAGCATGGTGATATGTAGATAATGCTGTGAACAGTGTGGTAGTTTGTCCTGTCAAAAAGTGTATATAGTAGGATGACTTGCGACGTGGTGAAGCATAGTTGCATTGCCCTTTTCTCTAACATCTTCACCTTGCGGCATGTGTCTGCAGAAATCCATCCTTGTCATTCCTTTCCAGTACTTTTCTCCAGATGTTCTTACTTTTCCACGCTTTTCATAGACGTGCGTGCGTCGTTTGTCTCCATTCGCTACACCTTGCGGATTCTACGTAGATTTCTCTGCTTTCTGTGCCTCTAAAGTACTTTTCCCTAGGTACTACAAGCTTCAGAAATAGGATGTGCGGAGCCTAGATGAGGTAGGTTCTCCTTCTGGCAACGAAGGCACTATCCACTGAACTCGTCTGCATGTTTTGGGGGTGTCCTCTTGCTCGGAGCAGCTCCGATGCTGGACAACTCCAGAATCAAAGAGGGCTGTTCGGTGAGTCAATCTTGGGGGTATCCTATCACCAGGGCCTCAGATGATGATGGTTAGGTTGCAGGCCTTCCTCTAGATATATATAATGATAATTGTTTACCGACTGTGACAGGTACAGTACAAGGACACCCCCAAGTTCCATCCAATATAATGCCTCATTGGAAGTGCTCGCTCGCACGGGTGGCTTTTCTGAAATGAACTGCAGGTGGTAAACACTGGCCATCGCAGGCAAGAATGACAACACACACGCGCCTCTGGAAGGTTACCGAGTCAGAAAAACAACATGCATGAAACGTGGCAAACTCTTGGGATCTCTTGGGTAATAATCTACTGTTAAAAAGAAAGCTCGACATATTCTTCCAGAGTGGCAGACCTCGTGTCATTCCTCCCCGTCCCTGCCTTCTCGAAAGTTGGGCACCTCTAAAGTCGGCACCTCCTCGTCAGAGAAACCCAAGTGAAACCCAGCAGCGAGACCTCTGAAATCTCCAGCAGCCGCGGAAGTCACTTCCTAGTCGTAGATAGAGTACCAGAGTGTCCATAGCAAACCAGATGCCAGATGGTTACAAACCATGAGGTGGACCACTGCTCCTAGCAAATCGACCAACAACTCTATGACTCTATGACACTTATCAAGCCACGGGTCGCAGCCATCTCCAACATATGAGACCCTACCGGGAAAGCTTTGAACTTGATTGATGTCCAGGGATATGGTATAATTACTACTGTTCTTGGACGAAATCCTGCAAACATGAGGCATATGGAAACCAGTGTAAATATGTTGCTGTAACATAGATTTGTATCACTCCAACTCTCACGGGGCTTCACTGGACCTCCAAAACGTCCGGAAATTCGAGCATACATGATGGTGTTGCAATGTTTTGCACCTACCTCATTGAGTAAAACTTGAGAATTTTGAGCCCTGGCAGTGATTGTAAGCACTGCATAGAGTCACATTTGTCTTTACCGAGTTGTGGAATTGGTTGTATACTGTATTTGTACATGTATTCCTTTTGTTGAGGTTCTTGCCATACATCTGATCTGTATGATGGTAGCATCTCCGTCGGTCCTCGGTCGGCAGCGGCACCGAGACCACGGAGCCGGGGCTTCGCTCGGTCCCTGAGACGTCGATGGAGACAGAAGCACTGAGACGGCAGGGGTTCACCTGGGGGAAGCAGTATGAAGCACAAGGGGGAAGGCAGTAGGTATAGGATGGTATAGATATGTATGTATATAGGTAGGTAGTAGGATAGTGGCTTGTTTTGATGTCTGGTGGCTTTTGGAACGTGTCCAAGCACTTGAGGGTGGACAAATTCTAGCTTCAATAAAAGAAAGAGCTGCACCAGTGGGGCTTCATGGAAGCCTCATGGGTTGGCATGGCCAGCTCTTGATCGACGGTGCGGAATGTCTGAAACCTGCGCCACTGGATACAATGGGATATCACGCAAAACACGACTTGAAAGTGAGCTGAACTGGGCATGTTCGGCAAGCGTCGATTGATCGCCGTCGATTGATCGCCCTACCATGGCATCGCGTTGCATCGCGTTTCGACGACGGCATGGAGGCCTCCTCCATCGGTGACCGACGCGCGTCGACCGGACCCCCCTCCCTTCTGGGCCTGTTCTCATTGGAGACAGAGATGCACTCCCAGCCTGCAGCTCGGGCGCCAGCATCAAACCACCATTTTGGTACCTTGGCTTGGTCTTAGATCCCCTCGCAAGTGTATCTTAGCCTTTAGCCATGTGCCAGTGAATCCCAACTCCTCGGCTGCTTCCCAAATTCCACGCTGGCGCCGGTGCCCATTCAGGTCACCACCCCGGTCCGACGCGCTGGCACCTCGGAGGGCGCATAGGCGGCCACCCGGAGGCCCAAAGGCATCATGGCCTGTCGCCGGCTGACGTGGGTGTCTGCTTGCGTTGCAGACCTGCGTCGAAGAGAGGAGAGTCCTGCAAAAAGGAAACAGAAAAACGAGACGAACTCTGAACAACTTGAGATTCCGAAATATCTTTCCGAAACATGATCTTCCTCCATCCATATAAGCCCGGTTTGTGTGACCAAACAGCAATCTGGAATGCATGTGTATCAGCGTCTTCTCCAAGTGTTGGTGATCCCATGTGTTGGTCTTGTGCCTTGTGCTCTATCTAGGACTGCACAACAGCAACAACAGCACCCCAAATTCCCGACAGGTCGATGCAGGAATTGCTCGGACGCCGGACGCTGGTTCCCGGGTCACTCCCAGTTGCTTGTCGTGGTACCCCAATGCTATTAGGAACAATGTTCGCTACTAGGGGCTCCTGGCATCGCTACTAGGAGCAAGGACGCTAGGGGCTCCTGGCCGTACTACTAGGAGCAAGAAGCTATTAGGTTGGATGACTTATAGCTGACCACAGGTTCTGTTCCATGGTGTCATCTACCCATCACCTCCATGCCACGTCTCGGACATTCGCCTGATAGCTCTGCTTCGCCGCGCGGAAGGCCTCAATTGGGGGGTCCACTCTGGGCTCAAAGTTTGTGTGCCATCCTATTAGGTTGGAGGCCCTCGCTATTAGCTTGGAGGCCGTCGCTATTAGGGTGGAGGCCATCCCTATTATCCCTATTAGGTTGGAGGCCATCGCTATTCGGTTGGAGGCCCGCTCTATTGGGTTGGAGGCCCGCTCTATATTAGGTTGGAGCCCCTCGCTATTAGGTTGGAGGCCATCGCTATTAGGGTGGAGCCCATTGCCATTAGGTTGGAGGCCATTGCCATTAGGTTGGAGGCCATTGTAAGAGTATAATGTGACATTTACCTTCACCTCGGTGGTGTCATGATACCATTGTCCTTCGCACGAGGCGGAGCCCCCACGCACGCAAACCTGCGCATGGGGCCCAGCCTCTATCTTCTGGTAGAACTCGTTGGTTCCACGCTCCTGACATGACTCCATGTATGACAGCCCCAGATCCAAGAAGGGGCCCATCTGTCTCTAGGAGTTGAATTTGATACGGCAACTAATACTTGGATCATGGATCTGTCTCTTGGCTTGAGGATGGGACACAACTTGATCGTTCGCTCAATGACCAGCATCTGGTCAAGACCTCCATTTTCCCGCATCCGCCGCCTCGAGATCTGTGGATCTGACGACTAAACCTGCTGGCCCTGTATCATCTGGTATCCGATATCAAAACACCAGACTGATGTGCCCTGACAGACTCAGACTGGTGCAAAAAAACAAGACCACCTGAGACTCTGCACGTTCAGGTGCTTCCAGGTCTTGACGCCTTGCTGCTTCCAGGTGCAGAAGTCCCCACCCCATCACCACTGGGAGAAGTCCCTGTAGCTTTAAAGTCACTCTCCTTCATAAAGGCTCCAAGGTCTCTTGTCTTCCAAAATAAGCACTCGTACCAGTGATTCCATGTGATTCCCAGTAGTCCCTTCTCAAAAAACAAGCACATGAGCCCTGAACCCTGAATTTCCGAACACCCTCTCGCCTCCCACCAGATCCCTCCCCCAAGTGACTCGGCCTTGACTCGGCGTTTGCCCTCTGTCAAGATGCAGGACATGATGAGCTCCAAGAACATCCCGTCCACACCAGGCATCCCCCTGAGTCGTCTTCGACTTCCCGAGATGGTCTCCGCTCATCCCTCGGTCGGAGACCCACGTCGACGTTTTTGGGAAGGCAGGCTTTGGTGGTGTGCAGAGATGTTAGGCGCCTGCCGCAGTCAACAGCCCTTCTAACATGCTGGGCCACTGCGATTTGCTTGTTCCTGATGCTCACCTTGTGCTTTGACGCCAAAGCCAAGTCATGTGATAAGATGTCTTGGCGCCATGAAACACCGCTTACCACGCTTTCCACCAGGGCATCAAATACAAAGCCCACACATTCCTACCTCGGTGTGATGGGCCCTGGTCCCGAGCATCACTCCTTGATAATCCTTGCCTTTGGTCCATCGCTCCGACGAACCGGGAGACTCGGACGAACCGCGAGACTGCCGAGGTCTCGACCTTCCCCATCCTCGCTCTAGTCCAACGGACCAGGGGCCGAGAGTGGGTCGAAGGACGCATTGGTCAGACGACGCGCCTGACCGCATCCAGCATGGCTGAGATCTTCAGCGCGAAGGTGTTGCAGCCACTGGAAGAGGCTCTCACCTCGAGTCGGATCAGCTTGGTGTTTGCCTGAGGTAAAATATAAAAGCCATTAAGGTGCAGGCAAAGAAATCGTCAGTCTAGTTCCTCTGGTTACTAATACACTGAAGATGCTTGGTTCATCCCTAAACCAGAGTAGCCCGGTCAATGGATTCACCAAAACACTGCTTCTGTATCGAGAGCAGATGGTGGAGGATTGGATGTGTAAGAAATGGATAGGATAGGTATCTTCGTCAAACACATTCCAACACCTTGATGAACATAAAGTGAAGGGCAGGGTAGGCTGTGAAAGTGTACGCCCCTCGCAGCACGGGTCGGCTCTGTCTCAACTTTGGAATGACACAAACAGACTTGGTGTCCGGATCTCAACCCAGAGATCCAGGATCCAGGTGTCAATTTAGACAGGGGGGGCCCAGGGGTGATTTTATAGATGTATATGAAAATAGACACCCCGATGATCTAGGGTTCACCTCTGCGGAGGTTTGGGTTGGGCTTGCCCATCCACCATGCTGTGCTCCCGGCGGCGCAATCGGATGGACACCCAAAGGACTGCAACGCTTCCTGGCGGAAAACAGATGAAAAAAGGGATGCTCCTGAGGGCTGAAGACTCTGAGAAATGATAAGTGGGTTCATCAGACAGTGCCCCGTTCGTAGCGTCCTTGTTCCTAGTAGCGATGTCAGGAGCCCCGTTCGTAGCGTCCGATCGCTCCTAGTAGTAAGGCCAGGAGCCCCTAGTAGCTTCTTGTTACTGTCTGATGAATATGGCACATGCATCATGGCACAAGAAAACAACCTACAGGCCGAAAACACCAGCGTCTGCTCTCCCCATGATGTGACTGCTGCGGACTCGACCTCCTCGGTCCGACTACCAGCATGCAGAGATATTGACTAAAATATTGTCTCTTGTGACGTTCTCACAACAAAGAGTTCACATGCAACGCACTTCTACTATTGTCTAACACAGTTCCTAACATATCGCAAACACCTAGTCAAGCTTGACGTCCTCATCCAAACACCCAGTGTGTGACGATGTCAAAAACTTGGCACAAGTTGCTGACCCAGTCCACTAGAACTCCCAAAAAATCGCCGCTCACCTCCCCCAATAGCTGCTCGAAGCCCAGCATTGCGCCCGGAGCATAGGTCTGGCGATGACCCCCGTCGATTGATGTTTCCACGATCCCTTTCAAGAGCTGTGTGTAGGAGTAAGAACATGGGCCAAGGCCAGTCGAAGCAATCAGTTGAAACACCGTTGAACAATCCGTGTGCTCAACAGGCATGTCTGAAATCGTTGAACCACCCAAGAGGACCAACAAACATGAAGATCGGAGACTCTCCCAGCTAGGTCCACTTCCCAGCACTTTCACCAACGGAGGGAAGTGGACCTTGCTTTTCACATGGACGGCCTCCGAGTCCCGGACGGCCTATGACATGCTTTCGGCACCCACACCACACCCGCTTGTGGAAACAGGTGCTGGTGGTCCACGTAGCCATGATTCTTTCAGGGAGTGTACGACAGAGGAATTGTCTGAAACGTCATGAAACCGCAGTCTTCAGTCGCCTGGAAGCTCCCTCCCACAGTGATACGAGGATGGTCTGTAAGACCCAAGTCGAAATGGACAACGGAGACCAAGCACCGAAGTCAAGGACGCGTCTTTGGACATTATCTGTTCTCGGATTTCTCGGAAAAGAATGGAGACCTCCAAAACCATCTAAAGCCTCTCAGCCCACTTTGGTGTGGCTCTCAGCCACTTTGGCATTAGTATTGCCCCACAGGTCAATCAACAAACAGAACTGAAAGAAGTCGAGGTCGCCAACCCTGACATAGACCCCTCACAGTCGTTCCAACCGTTTCCATCTGTCCCGTGATGTGCCTCCAGTACGGTATAGGCTTCATCCACATATGGTACCCTCACCTGGAGCCGTGGACCGGGGAGGTCGGTCCGAAGGAATCCGAAGGAATCCGCTTCGTAGCGATGCGTTCGGAGCCCCGATCATGGCGTCCGATCGCTCCGTTCGTAGCTAAGGCCAGGAGCTGCGTTTGTAGCTTCTTGCTCCGTTCGTAGCGATGCCCTTGGCTCCTAGTAGCGTCTATGCTCCTAGTCTGTCAGAGACTCAAGGGGTCGAAGTTGTGACTTCAATCTCTCGTGATAGAAACACACCAAGTAACCTCCCAAGTTGAAGTTCAAAGAACTCCTACAGTTGTGACTTCTTGTGATGAACATCAAATTCTTCACCTCAACTACATCCGTCTCCTTTTGGGGCTTCTTTGGACGAGGCAACATCATGGGACCTGCTGGACACATCGAAAGAAAAATCGAATGCCTCGGACAATTGCATTCGATAAAAGGGAACGTCCCCTGTGCCACGAGAACTTGCGGGGTTGACCTGATGATTCACGTACCAGCTTGGATTCTGACCGAGACATGTCGTCAAGACTGCCACAAATCCTTGAAGAGGGCCAAACAGTACACCCTTTTGCAAAATCTGTGGTCCTCCAAACTGACGACGACTCCCACCTTCAACAAATGCTTTGAATCGACGGAACCGCACATCATGTTTCGTCCAACATGTCCAAACCCCCGCCGCATTGTAGAGTCATCTCGCCAGATTCCAGATCTCGCCAGGTCGTCCACTTCCAGGTCTTTGTCCACTTCCATGGGACTTCCATGTTACTGTGAGTGAACACGAGATCCCTTTTTAGGAGCGGCCCGCAGCTCCTCGGTCCTCCGAAACTCGGCCGCGCCTCCTTTTTCCGGCGCCGGCGGCGCACGGGCTGATGCGACCTGAGGTCGGTGGGCTTCAGGACGAAGCGAAGAGGTGACGGATTGGACACCTGGAACCCCGACATGACCCCCGTTTTGATAGGAAGGAAGTTTGGCCATATTTGGGGGTGGTTGGTGGTCCAAAATAGAGGTCATTCAGGTTGTATGTGTATATAGACGTCTTTTCATCTCTTTCCATCCGAACGACTGAGTCCGATTCTACGATGAGCATGGACTGCCTAACTTGGAGTGGGTCTCGACAGACCGCAGCGAGCTTCCCGGCAGCTCCCACCAAAGCCCATCTCTCAAAAACAGGAAGACTGCCCCTCAGGGGATTTGTCTCTCTCTCTCTCTCTCTCTGAAAATCGATGAACGAGTCGCAACTGGCACCGAAAGCATTGGATGCCTCTTTCCTAGGGGTGTTTACCTTGGAGCCATTATCAACAGTTGTCCTTGCTAGATTGGGTACTGTCCTGCTTGATGAAAGAAGCAGGACAATGGCCTACCAGAGGTGGTGAGCAATGAAAAGGCGATACACTGATCGAATCTCCCTGAGGATTTTTAGGGGGAGGATCCACATCTCTTCCTCTCCCAGCCTCTCCCAATCACTTGGAGAGATGGGTTGCCGGGTCAACCTGGGCGCCCCAGCATGGCTCGACCGCCACTGTGCACGAAGGCCTGCCAGGTTGGCGGACAGATGTGCGGCAATGCTTTTTCAACATGGCCAGGTGGGCCGAAGTGGTGAAAAGATGGCAGTATGTGTGTGTATTTTTCTTTTTTACGTGAAGAATTGGTCGAATTTTGCCGAAAAGAATGGCTGTTCAATCCAGAAAAATGGCAGTGTTTTTGTCCATGTTTTTCACCTCCTCCAAAGATGGATGATGGATGGTCCTTCCAATGGTTGATGGTCTGAATGATCCCAAAAGCTCGTCAATACTCCTCACACGTCGTCACACGGACCGGAGACTGGTCGGCGTGTGATGGACCGCAGCCTGCGCTGCACAGCGCACCGCACCGCACCTCGCAGGAGTGGTCGTAGACGAAGATCAGGTCCGAGGACACAGTGACCTGCGGTCGACCGGTGAACAACCCATCGTCACCATGTCCCCTCCCACCATCTGGAGGCAGAATCGAGGCAGAATGAGTGATGCAGTTTCTTAGAAACTGGCCAAGCGGCTCAACAAGAGAAACAGGATTGAGTTCCTGGAAGCTCGAGCTTCTATCGATTTCTGGGATTGATCGACCGAGCAGACCCGTCTCGACCGACGGTCTTTCTCGCACCTCCGCAGACTGGAGCACAAGCTCGAAGGGCGCAAAGGCCTCAAAGGGCGGTGTGAAGCGCAAGGAGGATGAGATGTGAAGCCCGGAATCCAAATGAGCATCTCAAAAGGCGTGCTGAAGTCTCATAAAAAAGACTGGCAAGCTTCTATAACTGGTCTCCTCCCTCTAAGGTGCAAGAGATCTTCCTTCCATTGATCGCCATTCATGACCACAACAACCATTGAATCCACCCGTCTTGCTGTGTTGGTCGTCGTTGCACGGCGGTCACGATCACCCGTGACCATGCAACGACCGTCCCGTGGAGAGACGCCCGGACTCCAGGGGGCGGGGGAATACGTTTGGCCCACGACTCCAGGCAAGAACTCAGGAATTTCCTGAAGGTGGATGGGGATCGTCGTAGATGTCTTCTTTCGAAGTCAGTTTGAGCATTGTTTGCTGACCTCTCCTGCTGGGTCCTTACAAACCATAAGAACCATGAATCTAAACCATCAATCAACACATCCAGGAAAACGAGAGATGGTTTGCTGAGGGATTCATTCCTCTAAGGTTTCATTGTTCACTTGGAGGTAATCCCTCTCTGAATCAACCAGCCAATAGTAAAAGGATGAGAATCACCATCTATGCTCACCAACCGTTCTGCGCCTGCGGCTCCAGAAGTCTCAGAAGGACGGCCTGGAACCTGCAGGGTCAGCTGGTAGTCTGATGGCTATCTTCGCGTAGCTCTAGTGGTGGAGGGGTGAACATGGGTGATCTCAACTAAAGCTCCGCATGGGCGGGGGAGGGGAGTTCGAACACGACAGCGACCCACGAGCAAATCCATGGAGTCACAAAGGTTGAAGCGTCTGGTCGTTGCTTTCTACTCTGAAAATCATCGGAGTGAGCTCTTAAAGCTTGAAGCTCATGGTCTCCAAAAGAGCCAACAAGCAGGAGTTTCACATGATCTTCTCATCAAAAGTGGAAGTTTCTCTGATGGATTCACTCGATGAAAAGAGGCCGTGGAGGTCACTCTTGCAGGTCCTGGAGGTCCAAACAAAGGGTACAGAGCATGCATATCCGCATGACCCGATAAGTCACCGGCCTTTGACAAGTCGATGAGGCGATCCCAGTACAGTATATGCTCAAAGTTGAGTCCCCAAGATATCCATGATCCATGAGATACCATACAGTTCTGTCATTTTTGGTGCTTTGGCAGGGTGCTACAGCTCCCCCTTTGGTTTTCGTGAAGATCTCGAGGCCACGCCCCGGCGCGCGAGTCCGGCGGCCACGGGGCCACCGGAAGAAGTTCTTCGTGGATTTGCAGGATTTCCAGGGCAGAGTGCAGCGAAGGGCAGACCAGAGTGGTGCTTGACCAGGAACGTCAAAAAGAGCTGCAATTTGAGCAAAGTCATTTTTATCAGGGGAATTGTCATCAGCCTTCTTTGCCGTGTTGCTCCTCAATCTAAGCCGAGCAGCCATGAAGGCAGGGGCACTTTGAAGAGCAAGAGCTTGCTGTTCAGTATATGCCTCAAAAAGCGTTCAAGAAATGGGAACCTACTGAATTTCTCAGGGAATGACCATCCATCAATTTACAAGCAATCCTGTGTGTATGCAGTATATACAGTAAAGTAGGCAGACCCTCCACTGGGCTTTGTCCGTCTAAGTGTTCCGGTGTCACTACACCGTGGGTCACTTGGCAGCGAGTCAATTTGACGTGCAGGATGAAGAGGTAACCTTCCCGGATTCCCCAAACAAACATGGGTACTGTGGATGACTGTTCTTCTCGACCAGGTGAGCGCTATGTTCGTCTGGAGGAGGGTATTGAACCACCCATAGGTGGCTTGGGGTGTAGAGTTGGGTGGCTCAAAACTGGGAAGCATCGGACATCGGAATGTCATGGAATTTCAAGAGTAGTTTCCAGTGGTTTCCAGGGCATCAAAAGTCTCGGTTTGAACCTGGATCCACAGCCTGGACCCATGTCCACTTCCTCTCGTTCACGGTTTCCCACCTGTGGATGTGTAGAACCACCTCCTTGCGCAAAGGCGTGGGGAGCCGCTGCAAGATCTCGGCCTCATACTCAAAGTGCGACATCTCCTGTAGCGACATCTGTGCCTGGCCTATTCCGTTTTTCATTTCGACGGAGAGATCCTTATTGCGTCATCCAATCTCTGAATTGGGAGGTGCAAAATCTATTGTCAACACTGTTGACAATATGGGTGTGCTTCTGGGCTGACATGGAACAAAAACGGTTTCATCATGGAGTGCGGCTAGATCCCACTTTATCCATAGAACATACATCATCTACCCCCGTTCTTCCACGCTTCACAGGTGTTCTTCACAGGTGTCTGTCCAACCATCTTACACCCAAGACAGACTCGGTTGATCATTTACATTCATCGGCCCTTTTGTTTGGCGCCATGTCATCCGGTGCGTCCTCTCCGCTCGGTTCATGTCGACGCGTGGGGGTCCTGGAACCAGAAATCGTAGTGCCGCCGAATCGACTGGATGACCTTTTGGTGGAAGCCATGCTCCTGGCGTGAGAATGACAACCTGGGGCATCATGCCATTTGGAAGATCCTTGGGCTGAGACGCCCCAGCAAAGAGAGAAATCTCTAGAAAAGCTTGCAGGCCCTTGATTGACCCATCCCTTGCTCCAGGTGACTGTGCCGATCCGGCAAAAAGATGCAACAAGGAGCTGTGTGACTCAACGTGTGACTATCTATCTATCTATCTATCTATAGATATTTACCAGGGCCCACTCAAACCATCAAAGACCCGGTCTTCTTTCGCACAAAACATGGTTTTGGTCATGGGTTTCAGGACCACAAGTATCCATACTTGGAGTTGCATCAGGAACTGGGAAAAGAAATGCTTGAAGAACATCTTCGAGAAGATGACAGAGGATTTGCCCAGTGTCAAAAGCCTCAAAAGTCACCCGATCCGCCAAACCAAGTATTTACGAGTTATTTGTTTCTGGAAAAACCGTGGTTTCAGAGGTCCGATGACACAAGTTCCCCCAAGTTTGGTGGTTTAGTAGTGGACCCTCATATCAAAGACATTCTTGAGATGCCAGTGCCTCGTGACCTCGTTTGAACTGGTTGGGCGTCTGAAAGGGGTGCGTGCGTCTCATTACCTCGTGCGTCTCGTCGACGGGTCTCTTCAGTTCTCCGAAGGTTTGATTCGGTGGCGCTGGCGGCACTGGGCCTGTTGGATTTGGGATGTCTTTAGTGGGGAAACCAATCGCCAGAAAAGGTTCAAGGCTACCAGTATCCACTGACTGGGTAGGCAGGTTGACCATCACGCTGTTCATTCCTTCGGTTTCTCCGCCCCCGCAACGTCTCCGATCGACCTCGCAGTATTGGCGCATCGTGAAGATATGCCTCGGCGAAGCTGGCTGAGTCGAGAGTAGATGGCGCAAATGTCCAAGTTTGGTCCAGTTTGGTGGTTCTAATTGAACAGCACTAAAAGGACATCTCGGGGTGCCAGTGCCATCGAACCTCTGAAACCCCTTAGATGACCGAGTCAGACAACGAAATCCCCCGGCGGGTCCGATGGCCTTGAAAACTCTCCAAGCGATGCCGGTTTAGCCAACGAGTGCAGGACAACACCGCGGTAACGCACCGTGAACGACGGTCTGGTTGAAATCATGACCGTGGTAAGTTCACCTCAAACGCCAGTCAGCACTCTATATATATATATATGCATGTATGTCTCTTGCGAAGCGAAATATATAAACCTTCTCAAACATGTGCAGCAAGGAAACCAACAGCCTTTGGGCCATGGGGCACGATCTTCCCGCAACAAGCATCTTGGACGCATCTGAACAGCGAAGTCAGAAGCGTTTGGGTCGGCAGATCGTCACCCGGCTTTGGCTCTTTTCCCAGACCCTCATCCCACCGTCACGTGCGGTCCGGCGGCTGCGCCGACGGCTTCTGCCGTGTGTTGCTCGCCATTTCCGCCACCGAACCGACGATATAGCCTCGGTGAAATGACAAGCGCGGGAGCGAGGATGGAGGCTTCCACCAGAACCCAGAAATCAGGCCTTTTTTGTCTTCAGCACTAAAGCTTTCCCTAAAGCATCAAGGAATGACTTGCTAGTTTTTGCTAGAGCTGCTATCAGTTTGCACAGATCAGTTTCCATATACAGTCCAACCCCTCTTGCCCAACAAACCAAACGCTTCGCATCGTCTCACCGAGCTCGCCGGCCGAACACCGTGGCGCCGATGATCATCACCACCACCTGTTGGCACAGGCCCCCGCAGGGCACCAGGCATTTCAGCCATGTCAATATCTCCGTAGTTCAAAGATTCTTTTGGAATCATAGAGTAGGATTTCTGACCAATCTATATAAGAGTAGACATCTCTATCAGGCGGGTAGGTTACAGAAGAGTCAGAATTGCGTTGGTTGCAGTGAAGCCTTTTTCTTCCTGTAGAATTCTTGCTAAACAACAGCGACGCCAGGCAGCAAAAGCATGCAACCAATCGCTGCGGTGATTTTGTGCCGTCAAAATCAGTGACAATGCTTCAACGTTTGCCTTTTCAAGCTTGCACTTCCCACATAGACATACACTAACTCCGCGTGGACACCTTGCAGTTTCCAGCTGGATAGATTGATATCTGATCTACTCGGATTGTTGGATTGTTCTTTCACCTCTCTGGCTTTAGAGTCCTCCTAAAGTCTAACGTCTCACACCAAGCAGTTCACACCAAGCCCTGTACGGCGAAGGCGCGCTCCCAGTTGTTCATGGGAAAGAAGTCGCCTCAGACCGACCCGTGCAGATAGGCGACCCCTGCGTGCGTTGTTTCCGCGTGCACAAAACAGGCATCGTTTGGGCCATGAGAAACACATTAACAACTCGCGTTTCCTTCCCCAAGATTCGAACCGAAACCTCTGGATGGATGGTGGAAGGAAGATTAAGAATTGCAATTTGATCCCGCCCCTCACTGCCCTTCCACTTGTGGGGTGCTCTAAGACTTCTGAGTGAGAAACTAGGAAAGTAACGTTCCAAGAAGGGCAACGTTTTTTCGCTCTGGATGAACAAAACCTTGTTCAGCATGAGGTGAAGGCATCGAAGGAAGTCCAAACATGTCAAACCAGGGGATCCTGTTTACAAAGCTACGAACTATACCCAGAAAATGCATGCATGGAGTGACCCAAGAAACCATCCCAATGTAGGTATTACCCCAACGTAGGTAAGACTATGCAAGACTGAGATAAATGTCCAAACCTCCTCCAATTCAATGAAATGAGAAAACACAGAAGGCAATGGGTGAAACCCAAGGCTAGTGGTGAACCGTCCACGTAGCTTGGCAGGGATTGATTTAAAGAGGAGATAGACCAACGTGGTCCGGTTGATGGGTTGAGCCGAACCAAAAATCATCCGGCTAGCCCAAAAACGATCGACTTGTGTGATTGCTCAGGCATTCTTGGAACCAAGATTCTGGAACCGGCTGTGTTATCTTGCTTGTGGTCATATCTTTGGGTGCTCAAGCTTCCCATGCTCACCAGGCCACACAACCTCCAAGGGGCCCTACAATTTACAACAGACAGACAAAGCCGTTGTGACCGTCGTGCAAAATCCCAACCAAAACTGATGTCGGCCCCGTTCTTGGCCGCAACAAGGTGATTTGTGAGTGCATTCTGCGTGGACAGGCCTTTGGGCGATGAAGTGTCCTCCCGCGGACCATTGAAGTTTCCCCCAACCACTTGCAAAGACTCCCACGTGAATGGTGGAAGTTGCGCGTGCCGCACCAACAGCTCCTGCATCCTTTGTTCTTCCCGTCTGGATGCTCTTGGGACACCTTCGGTGCCACTCACCATCAAAGACAGTGAGATTGTAGGTGCACGCACTGAGCAAAGCCGGGGACTCACTGCAGTTAACTCGAACATTTGAAAAACTCCATACCAACTCAGACTTAATTGGACTGCACAATGATGCACAGGTCCCAGCATGGTCGGGCATGGTCCAAAAAGGGACCCTTTCAGCAGCTCGTGCATCCTGGTGGTTGATGCAAGCAACAGCCGACCGCCTGGAAATCAGAGGTTGGCATGAGTTGGTGAGGGTGCTTACAGTATGAGACAGGTTTGGGTAGCTTCAGCCTCCAGCAACACACGTTCAACTTCGAAGTGGCCATTCTCAGCTGCAAGATACAAAGCTGCATCTATATCAGCTCCAGCTTCCAACAACAGCTGTACAACTTCCAAGTGACCGTTCTGTGCGGCAGCGAACAAAGCTGTTGCCCCATCACATTCTCTTACTGCATCTTTGTCAGCTCCAGCTTCCAACAACAGCTGTACTACTTCCAAGTGACCGTTCTCAGCTCCAACAAACAAAGCACTTGCCCCATCGTCTCCTCTTATGGGATCTATGTCAGCTCCAGCTTCCAACAACAGCTGCACAACTTCCAAGTGGCCGTTCTCTGCGGCAGCGATCAAAGCTGTTTCCGCATTTGTTGCTAAGGCTAAGTCTATGTCAGCTCCAGCTGCCAGCAAAAACCGCACAACTTCCGGGTTGCCATTCTTAGCTGCATTAAACAAAGACGGTGTCCCTTCAGCTGCAACATATTAATATGGCTGCTCAACTTCTAGTATCTGCTCAACCTCTAGTATTGTCACCGCGACGTCCATTGGGCCATGCGTAGTAGCTGCAGCCAACAACACTGCATCTTTGTCAGCTCCAGCCTCTAGCAACAAGCGCACATCTTTGTAGTGGCCATTTTTAGCGGCAACATACAAAGGCGTTTCTCCGTCGTCTCCTGCTGCATCTTTGTCAGCTCCAGCTCCCAGCAACAGCTGTAGCACTCTATAGGTCAAGTCCCCATTTCGAGCTGCACAAAGCAAAGCCATTGAAGCCCTGTCAGCTCTAGCAGTAGCAGGCTCCAGCAACACGCGCACAACTGCTGCATCTTTGTCAGCTCCAGCTTCCAACAACAGCTGGACAATTT